GCTTTTACTTTTTCTTTTTTTAAATAACACTACTGTATTATTGACTCATATCCAATTTATTACCCACTCTTTATAACCACTAGATCTTTCCCTGTGGTACTATTGCCAGTTCAGCATTCTCGTATTCCATATTTGTGCATTTAATTATTCTTCCCTTAGTAAATCCCATTGCCTGTTTTCATTGAATCTCATTTTATTGATTTCACTCTAGTTCTCCAATTAACAACAACAAAAATAATAATATATTTTAATCTTCATTTCCAAAACTAAAACGCTATAAGACCAGCATTTGAAGTACTATATTACATGTAGCTCAGGAAGCCAAGATAGTTCTATGGAAGAAAAAATGCTTATTCTTGCCTCTCACCAAAAGAGCTGAGCTTTCAAGTTTTTCAGGTAGCAATTATATATTTTTATTACACAAGTAATTTTGGTAGAGAAATAATTTTAAATAACGGTGATCAAAGAGAAAAAACTTACCCAACTATTAGTGTCTTGAAGTTTTTTATCCCCCTCTCCTCCCTTCCTTCATATTTACCTACTTGAAGTACTAATAGAAATGAAATGATAATATACATAGTTTTTGCAAACTGCTTTTTCACTTCAAACTACATTTGAAAATCTTTTTATGTCAGTAAATAACTCTCTAAAGTATAACCACTGATAACTACTGAATGACTAGATGACTACTCAAATATAATATAATATAGCCTGTCAACTTTTTAAAGCATTTTCTAAACAATGACATATACTACACATAGGATTATCATCATAAGTAGTTGAAAATGGAAAGATGAAGAACCAGACCATGAATTTAGATTAGTGGCAAAATAACTGAATTTCCAGAAGTCAACAATTATATTCTCAATGTTGTTGTTGTTATTTGCCGTCGAGTTGGACCCGACTCCTAGCGACCCCTCCTTGGGTTTCCGAGGCGGTATCACTACAGAAGTAGGTTGCCCAACCTTCCTTCTGAGGAGTGGCTGGTAGGTTTGAACTGCCGGGCTTCTGGTTAGCAGTCAAGTGCCTTAGACACTATGCTACCAGAGCTCGTTATTCTCAATGTTGCTCATGTGGAAAACCAAAATAACATTGATTCTCAGATATTGAACGTCCTCAAAATCTGCATTTTAGCCACTATTAAAAATGGTTATCTTTGAGAAATACCAAAGATTGCTTCACATTATCCCAACATCCCTGCTTGAAAAATAAGACATCTTAGAGACAGTGGTAGGCAGATGAACTATAAGATTCCAATCCCCTGTTATATATGTCTTATATAATACATTTCTCTTGATTGTGGATGTAACCCATGAACATGATGGGATTTCACTACCATGATTAGGTTCTGTTATATGGCCAATGTGAAGAGAGTTTCCAGAGGTTCCTAATAAAGTGCAGTGCAGTGAATTGCTTAATATGTCCCTTCTAGCCATAGTCCTCTGTTTTGTGATGTATTGTAAACCCTAGTCTCTGTGCCTGTAGTTATGGTCCCATTTTGGGGTGAGTTGTCTGTTGCGTTGATGAGGCAGAATTAAGGTGGGATATAGCTTGAGTCCCACATTGCTGGAGGGTGTGACTCAAGTCACCACACTTAGTTTCCTTGAGAAGTCCTCACACTTAGCTTCCTTGAGGGTTGTTGTTGTTGTTGTTTGCCGTCGAGTCGGCCCCGACTCATAGCGACCCCTCCTTGGGTTTCCGAGGCAGTATCACTACGGAAGTGGGATTGCCCAACCTTCCTTCCGAGGAGTGGCTGGTGGGTTTGAACTGCCAGCCTTCTGGTGAGCAGTCAAGTGCCTTAGGCACTATGCTACCAGAGCTCCTTCCTTGAGGGTATATATACATATATATAGTCTGACAAAATTCCCTCTCTTGCTTGGGATCCTGCATCTGGTTTGTCATCGTCTCACCCCTAGTTCTTAGAACTGGAGACAGCAGACAGTCATTTGACTTCCTGATTTGGGTTCTTCAGCCCCTGTAACCACAGAAGTGAGGCTTATCCTCCAGACCAACACCTGACCCAGGGATTTGGGACTTGCCAGCCTCCACCACTGTGTGAGCCATTTCCCTGTCAGTTTGTGAGTTCTGTGAGCTGTTGCAGCAAAATACAGAACCCTAAGACCAAAGGGAGAGTACTGATGGCAGGAAGAGGAATTGATATTAGAGATTATGGAGTGGCACAGCAGTTTGGAGAAGCTGGACATTTAGGGCGTATATAATCTCCATCTCATAGGGACCAGCCTTATGCTGATCCTTCTAAAGGAATTATGCAAGTGTAAAGTTTCTAATAAATTGACTTAAGTTAGTAAAAAGGGAGATTTTTCTGAGTGCATCTTTCCTAATGAGCTAAGCCCTTTATAGGAAAATCTAGGCCTTCTATGAAGGGAAAGATTTGAAGCCAAAAAGATGTTCTTTTGCAGGCCTTGAAGAAATAAGTAGCCATGTTGTGAACTGTCTACAGAGAAAGCCAAGTGGCAAGAGTCTGAGATTCAACTGCAACCATTTTTGAATTATCTTCACCAAAATTTTACATGTGTGTGATATTAATGATGTTGTTTGATAATTTCTGCATTTTGATGGATCACCTTTCTTTGGAATGGGCACAAATATCAATCTCTTCCAATTAGTTGGCCAGTTAGCCATCTTCTAAATTTCTTGGCATAAATGAGCAAGCGCCACCAGAACTGCATCTGTTTGTTGAACCATCTCAGTGTGTAGTCCCTCAACTCCTGGAGCCTTGTTTTTTGCCAATTCCTTCAATGCAGCTTGGACTTCATCCTTCAATACTGTTGGTTCTTGATCATATGCTACCTCCTGAAGTAGTTGAATATCAACCAATTCTTTTTGGTACAGTGACTGTGTATTCCTGCCATCTTTTTTTAATGGTTCCTGCATCATTCAATATTTTGCCCATAAAATCCTTCAATACTATAATTTGAGGCTTGAAATTTTTCATCAGTTATTTCAGTTTAAGAAATGCAGAACGTGCTCTTCCCTTTTGGTTTTCTAATTCCAAGTCTTTGCCCATATCATTAAATTTTACTTTGTCTTCTCAAGCTTCCCTTTGAAATTTTCTGTTCAGCTCTTTTGTTTCATTATTTTGTCCATTCACTTTAGCTACTCTCCATTCAAGAGCAAGTTTCAGAGTCTCTTCTGATATCCATGTTGGTCTTTTCTATCTTTTTAGTGGCCTTTTGCTTTCTCATGTATGATGTTCTTGATGTTATCCCACAACTCGCCTGGTCTTCGGTCATTTGTTTTAAATGCATCAAAACTATTCTTCAGATGGTCTCTAAATTCAGGTGGGATATACTCAAGATCTTACTTTGGTTTTTGTGGACTTGTTTTAATTTTCTTTAGTTTCAATTTCAACTTCATAGGAGCAATAGATGGTCTGTTCCACAGTGGGCTCCTGGTCTTGTCCTGAATGATAATATTGAGCTTCTCCATTGTCTCTTTCCTCAGATGTTGTTGATTTGATTCCTGTGTATTCCATCTGATGAAGACCACATGTAAATTCACCATTTATGTTGCCAGAAAAAAGTACTTGCAACGAATGTGTCATTGGTTTTGCAAAATTCTATCATCTGATCTCTGGTGCAATTTCTATTACAAGATCATATTTTCCAGCTACCAATCCTTCTTTGTTTCCATCTTTTGCAGTCCAATCACCAGTGATTATCAATGCATCTTGATTGCACATTTGATCAATTTCAGACTGCAGAAGTTGGTAAAAATCAATTTCTTCATCTTTGGTATAAGTGGTTGCTGAGTAAATTTGAATAATATTCTTGTCAATTGGTCTTCCTTGTTATCCTATCCTTGGTATTCCTTGTTATATAAATGTTATTTTATCCCTGACTTCTGGATAACCTTGAAATGTTCTTTTTGACGATGAATGTGACATCATTTCTTCTCAATTCGTCACTCTCATTATAGTAGATCAGATGATTATCTCATTCATATTGGCCAGTACTAGTCCATTTTAGCTCACAAATGTCTAGGATATTCATCTTCCAGCACTCTATTCCATTGTATTTTTTACAATCTCCAATTTTCCTAGTTTCTTTCTTCATACATTCCATGTTCTGATTATTATGGTTGTTTGCAACTCTTTCTTCTCATTTTGAGTCATGCCACATCAGCAAATGAAGATGCCAAAATATTTACTCCATCCGTGTAATTAAAGTTTACTCTACTTTGAGAAGGCAGGTCTTCCCTAGTCATATTGTGAGTGCCTTTTCACCTGAGGGACTCATCTTCCGGCACTATTTCAGACAATGTTCCACTGCTATTTATAAGATTTTCAATGGCCAGTATTTTTAGAAGTAGATTGCCAGGCTCTCCTTCAGAGTATATCCTAGTCTGGAAACTCTGCTGAAACCTGTCCACTATTAATGACCCTGCTGGTATTTGAAATACTGGTGGCATAGCTTCTATCATCATGTAATGTGGAAGCCACAACTGCATGACAAACTGACAAGTGATAGAGTATATGCTATATATATTCTATAGGAGATTAAAATGGCCAATTACTAGATAACTCAATGAAGATATTGCTCTTAGAGGAATCATGGATAATTTCTCACACACTACTGATGGAAATTTGTTCAGTATTAAACTGATTTTTCTCTGATGGAATAATGTAAAAAGAACATCTTAGCTTCACTCTGAGTACATCACAGCAGAGCAGTAATAACAGCATCCATTATTTATTGAGTGTCTACTCTGTCCTGGGTACTTTACATACACACATCTCTAATCCTCATATCAACTCTTCAAAGTAAGAATTATTGTCCTACTTGCCTCATTTGAAGATGCATGTTCTGAGAATTAAACTGCTTTCAAAAAGTTGCACAGAGTAAGAGCTAATAGAGTCTGTACTCCTTGATGTCTCTTACAGTTTTCCACCAAGTCTTATAGTTAAGATAGTGCACAGAGAAAGCATATTTCATTATTTGAACAACCAAGTATTTTCACATCAAGGTTTAACTTCTTACCTGTTCATCTACCTCTTGAAAACTGTCATTGTCAGTGCCATTTACTTCAAGCTTTCCACATGTCCCACTAAGAGATGAGCTACTATCACTTATGCTGCCTTCTGGGGTGCCTGTGACACTGTCACTTGCTGGCCGTGAAGACACAAAGAGGCTGATGTTATCAAAGTCATCATCACAGAACCTGTTTTCAGCATCCACTTTCTGCACTTTTGCTGGATTGTAGGGCTTTAGGAAGGAAGAATACACATATCCTTTTACAACTGGATAGGAAATAAAAAGAAAGAAGAAGCAAGGTCATTTGGGCAGACTTCCAAGCATTTGTGCTTAGAGAGACATACAGAGACCCCAGGAAAATCTTAACTTGAAGACAAGTAGTCTACACATCTATGCAAAAAAACTTACTTCCTGTGTCAACAAGCCACCTGCATGTACTCCCCAATGGATCTTTCTGTTCCATCACAGCCACCAACTCTCCTTCCAGAAGATTGATGTCATATTCCTGTGTAGCATTACATTTGCGCTTAGCTTGGTATAGGTCCTCTGCACTGTATGTAGATAGAAGTTTGGAGCGGTGAGTGTCAGTTTGACGTGGCATTTCTGGCTGGGAGAAGTTAGGAAAAATTTTAGGTTAGATAAATACCTAAGGAATTCTTTACTGACTTGGTAAATACTGTTCTCTAGAGATTTTGTAAATGTATTAGCTAATAGAGTCTGGATGATGAGTCTGGAGTATGTTGATTTGCCATTATTTCAGGGTTAAGGCATTTAGATCAGGTTACTCTTGTAAAGGACCCAGCTGGGACATTCAGGGAAAAATTCTGTAGTTAGCACATGGAGCCAGTGTCATAGAGAAGAAAGAACATTCAGCTGAGAATCAGATTCTAATCACTCTTGCATGTTGAGCAACTTTTTAACTCTCTTTGCCATACAGAAGATAATTCCTTGCATATTAAGCACTTGGTAAATAATGTTTAATTAAGTAAATTGTACATGTGCATGCCTTCTTCTGGGAAATAGTATCAGTAAATTAGGTAGGAGTTAAAGAGGTCTGCACTGTCCCAGCTCTGCCACTAAGTGACTTTGAGAAAGTCAGTTGCTCTCTGGAGTCAGGGATCTCTTATCTAGAAAAAGAAAAGTTTGGACTATGTGACCTCGCCATACAAAATTCTATTCATCCATTCAACCAGTATTTGTTGAGTGCCTATCTATGTTATGCCATGTACTTTTCTAGGAACTTGGGATATATCATGTACAAAACAGAAAAAAAAAATACACACACATACACAACTAGGTAAATATAGTATGTTTGAATGGGATAAGTGATATGAAAAATAATATGATTCTATAACTAGGGCAAGAAAAGAGATGATAGTCATCATTGTCATTAATAATACCAAACTCACCAGAATTTGTACAGGTTTCTTCTTTTCAAAACTTAGCTTCCTCTCAATAAAAGTGGAACAACCATCCCTTACAAAATTCAGATTTTGAAACTCTTCTAGTACTCGATTCTGAATCTCAGAGATGCTTGAGGCAAACAGTGGCACCTAAAGTAGAAATGATATAGCATTGCTTACAGACTACTGTTTAATGTTGAATTTGGTAAAAATGAGATGAATAATTGAAAAAGTGTAAGTTATCTCTACAGTGGAAAATAAGAGCAGCTTTAGAGTTTCTACACAAATGTCTAATTTGTTCTCTCTGACACCCCACTAAAATGGCAGAAATTATTTTTTTTTAAGAAGGTTCAAGCATAAATAAAAGGAGAATAGAAGAAAAATAGCAGTACAATTTTGGGGAATAAAAACCTAAGGAGTTCATGGCAGTAGATTCCACTATATGTTGTAGAGGAAGGTTAGTGAGGAGAAAGAAACGGGCAAAAACAATAAACATAATAAACACAATGAACAATAAATACTGTTTAAGAGCCTGCAGTGTTTTAAAAGAAGTCAGCAAATTCTTTGCCATGCTTCCTGTCAAGAGGAATAGTCTTCTTCTTCTTCTTCACCACAAGTTAAATGCATCAATTCTTCTGCATCTTCCTTATTCATTGTTCAGCTTTCACAAACATATGAGGCTATTGAAAATACCATGGCTTGGGTCAGGAGCACCTTAGTCTTCTAGGTGAAATCTTTGCTCTATAACACTTTAAGGGGTCTTTTGCTGCAGATTTACCAGTTGCAACACATCTTTTGATTTCTTGACTGCTTCTTCCATGGATATTGATTGTGGATTGAAGGAAAATGAAATCCTTGAAAACTTCACATTTTTCTCCATTTATCACGCCATTACTTACTCGTCCAATTGTGAGGATTTTTGTTTTCTTTATGTTGAGATGTAATCCATATTAAAAGCTGTAGTCATTGATCTTCATCAGTAGGTGCTTCAAGTCTTCCTCACTTTCAGCAAGCCAAATTGTATGCCATCTGTATATCACTGGTTGTCAGTGAGTCTTCCTCCAATCCAAATGCTGCATTTGTCTTCATATAGTCTAGCTTCTCATATTATTTGTTCAAAATACAGACCAATAAGTATGGTGAAATGACACATCCCTTATGCACACCTTCCTTGATTTTAAACCATGAAAATCACCTTGTTCTTTTTGACTGACAGTCTCTTGGTCAATATACAGGTTCCTCATGAGCACAATTAAGTGTTCTGGAGTTCTCATTTGTCACAATGTTATCCAAAATTTGGTATGATCCATACAGTCTAATGCCTTTGCACAGTAAATAAAATACAGATAAACCTCTTTCTGGTATTCTCTGTTTCAGTCAAGATCTGCATGACATCAGCAGTGATATCCCTCTTTCCATGTCCTTTTCTGAATCCAGCTTGAATTTCTGGAAGCTGTCAATGTACTGCAGCAATTCTTTTTGAATTATCTTCAGCAAAATTTTACTTGTGTGTGATATTAATGATTTTGTCTGATAAAATTTCTGTATTCTGTTGGATCACCTTTCTTTGGACTAGACAAAAATATGGATCTCTTCCAGTCTGTTGGCCAGGTAGCAGTTTTCCAAATTTCTTGGCATAAATTAGTGAGCACCTCCAGTGCTGAATTCATTTGTTGAAACATCTCAATGTGTATCTCATAATTTCCTGGAGCCTTGTTTTTTCCCCAGTGTGTTCAGTGCAACGTGGAGCTCTTTCTCAAAAACCATTCATTTTTGATCATATGCTATCTCCTGAAATGGTTGAATGTTGACCATTTCTTTTTGTTGTTGTTGTTGTTGTTGTTGTTTGCCGTCGAGTCGCTACGGAAGTAGGATTGCCCAACCTTCCTTCCGAGGAGTGGCTGGTGGGTTTGAACCGCCAGCCTTCTGGTGAGCAGTCAAGTGCCTTAGGCACTATGCTACCAGAGCTCCTATATAATTATATATTTATATTAATATGTTTGTATAATGTAGGGACAGTGAGAAAAGAGAGAGAGAAATCCTCTTATTTCATAGAAGAATGTCAAAGTGTCATGCCTAAAACTGAAGATAAATGAAATAGCAACACTAGAATGTTATTTTAAAACATGAAGGAAAATAGCAAGATATCTTGTAAAAGAATTGAAAAGTGGTTGCATCTCAGGAAGGAGAAATGGGGTAAAGAGAATAAAGAACTATTATTTTCCTCAACCAGACTTGAACAGCTATTTAACACTTTAAATCATGTGCATGTATGATGCCAATAAAAATAAAAATAAAATATATAGCTTTGGAACCTGCCACAATGACATTTAAAATACTGTTTTAAAACTTTGGTAAGTAGTTTGCTGCTAGTTTATATTCAAGTAATACTTAAATGTATTAAGCCCAGGAGATTAAGAACACATCATGAGTCAAATAAGTAGATGTTGAGGCCAGTGATGACAGTTTCCTTAATGATTTGGAATAATGAGATGCAAAACACATTAAAAAATAAATGTTGCTATTGTTATACAATGATACATAAGATATGCATAGATATATATACTATACCACACATACACACACATACATATAACAAAAAATTAAGAAAAAATTAAGCCATAAATGAAAATAGGCATGAATTGTAGAGTTATATTATGGGGTCCTTTTAAGCTCACTTTCAGACTTTTGTTCTATTATTAGAATAACTACATGAGTGCATTGATTTTATGTTGTATAATTGAGAAATGAAAGAAAACATTATTTTACAGAGAGAAAGATATTTAAATATATTTTTTAAATAGATTAACCTTGATAACCCCTGAAAATTCAATGAAATAATAGGTAATAATTTTAATGGTTAACATTGCATAGCATTTATTACATGGTACAAATTATCCTAAGGACTTCACATATTTAATCCTTACAGAAAATTCTATAAGTATGGTTATTATTATCTTCAGTTTTTCAGGTGAGAAAAATGAGATTCAGAGGGGTTCAGTAATTTGTCAATGGTAATATTGTAATGACTGGGCATATCATGCTTGTGTGCGTGTTAGGTGACATCAAGTTAGTTCCAATACAACAAAATGAAATACTGCATGGTCTGGCACAACCCTCACAAACGTTGTTATACTTCAGCCCATTTTTGCAGCCACCATGTCAATCCATCTCATTGAAGGTTGTCCTCTTTTCGCTGGCCCTCTATTTAACATTATTTTCTCATTATTCTTCTGCAGGGATTGATCCCTCCTAACAATATGACCAAAGGAAGAGAGAGGAAGTCTTACCATCTTTGCTTCTAAGGATCATTCTGGCTGTACTTCTTCCAAGACAGACTTATTCATTCTTCTGGCACAGTATTTTCAATATTATACTCTAACACCATAATGCAAATGCATCAATTCTTCTTCAGTTTTCCTTATTCGTTCTCCAGCTTTCACATGCACAATGGGATAATAACATGGCTTGGGTCAGGCACACCTTAGTCCACAGAGTGAAATTTCTGCTTTCAAACACTTTAAAAAGGTCTTTTGCAGTAGATTTGCCAATGTAATAAATTGTTTAATCTCTTCACTGCTACTTCCATGTTGATTGTGGATACAAATAAAATAAATTTCTTCATAATTTAAATCTTTTCTCCATTTACCATAATGTTCTTTAATGGTTTAGTTGTGAAGAATTTTATTTTCTTTATGTTGAAGTGTAAGCCATACTGAAGACTGTGGTCTTTGATCTTCATTAAGTGTTTCAAGTCATCTTCACTTTCAGCAAGCAGGGCTTTGTCATATGATTATTGCAGGTTGCTAATGAGTCTTCTTCCAGTCCTGATTCTGCATTCTTCTTTATACAATCTAGTTTCTCAGATTATTTGCTCAGCATACAGAGTGAATAAGTATGGTGAAAGAATACAACTCTGATGCACATCTTTCCTGATTTTAAACCACACAATATCCCCTTGTTCTGTCCAAATGCCAGCCTCTTGATCTATGAACTGGTTCCTAATGAGCATATTTAAGTGTTCTGGAATTCCCATTCTTCACAGTATTATGCATAATTTGTATGATCCACACAGTCAAATACCTTTGTACAGTCAACAAAATACAGGTAAACACCTTTCTGGTATTCTTTGCTTTAAGCCAAGATCTATCTGACATCAGCAATGATATCCCTTGTTCCATGGCCACTTCTGAATCCAGCTTGAATTCTGGAAGCTCTCTGTTAATATATTGCTGTAGCCATTTTTGGATTATGTTTCAGCAAAATTTTATTTGCGTGTGATATTAATACTATTGTCTGAGAATTTTCACATTCTGTTGGTTCACCTTTCTTCGGAATGAGCACAAATAGGAATCTATTCCATTCAGTTGGCCAGGTAGCTGTCTTGCAAATTTCTTGGCATAAGTGATTCAGTACCTCCAGAACTGCATTCATTTGTTGAAACACCTCATTGGGTATTCCATCAATTTTTGGAGCCTTGTTTTTCACCAATTCTTTCAGTGCAGCTTGGCCTCCTTTTTTCAGTACCATTGATTCCTGATTATATGCTACCTCCTGGAATAGCTGAATATCAAACAATTCTTTTTGGTACAGTGATTCTGTGTATTCCTTCCATTTTCTTCTGACTACATCATTCAATATTTTTCCCATAGAATCCTTTAACATTGCAAATTGAGGCTTGAATTTTTTCTTCAGTTCTTTCACCCTGAGAAATGCTGAATGTGTTTTTCCCTTTTTGTTTTCTAACTCTGGAACTTTGCACATTTCATTGTCATAATTTACATTGTCTTCTTGAGCTGCCCTTTGAAATCTTCTGTTCAGCTTTTTATTTAATCATTTCTTCCATTCAAGAGCAAGTTTCAGAGTCTCTTCTGACATCAGTTTTGGTCTTTTCTTCCTTTCCTATCTTTTTAAGGAGATTTTGCTTTCTTCATGTGTGGTGTTCTTGATGTCATCCCATAACTCATCTGGTCTTTGGTCCCTGGTGTTCACTGTGTCAAATCTGTTCTTCAGATGGTCACTCGGGTGGGATATAATCAAGGTCATATTTTAGCTTCATGGACTTATTTTAATTTTCTTTGGGGTCAACTTGAACTTACATATGAACAATTGACAGCCTATTCACATTCAGCTCTTGGCCTTGTTTTAAC